CGTCATAACCACTTGAGCCACCGCATAATCCTATAATGCCTGGTTAATATTACTGTCCCCAACAGTGGAGTCAGGGGCTGTGCTGTGGTAAGTGATGGCCAAAGTCTGTCTACTGACTTTGTGGCCGATCTGTCTGTCTGTCTATTTCCTGATCCACAGCCAAACCTGTTGGCCACTATGCCCAAGGTAGCTCTCAGCAGCACAGATAAAGGTACCTCAGAACATGTACAAAAGTACATTTCCCCTCTTCTTTGATGGGCGGCCCAGGCATGAGGCTGGTAAACGTGTGAAGGGATTTTCTCCAGCATATTTTCCCAGCCAAATAACAAGGACCCAACTCAGACTGGTACTGCTATGCAGAGAGAGAGGCTATTTAATCCTTTCCCCTCTGCACCATCATCCTGACAAACAGCTCACCCAAAAGGGGTATTTGCCCCACCAGAGATAAGATACTAATTGCCTCATACTTTCTATATGTTTTTCTCCAAAGAAACCAAACAGGAAGGGCAAAATCAAGGTTTGGAAAATAAGATGGGGGGCAGTTAATACTCTCACCACTTCCCTGAGGCTCTGGCTCAATCTGCATCTAGCATTTGCTCCGCTGTTTTACCAAACCCACAATGGAACAGAAAAAGATGCGGCTCAAAAACCAGACTGCAGAGAGTCACCCCTGAATGGCCATAAAACGGCCATAAATCTATGCAGAGGGCTACCATAAAACCGAGAGATCAAACGAAGCGAAAGCGGCATGCAGTCTGGACACTGCCATAAAATCCGACACTCAATCAAAGTGAAAGTGGCATGCAATGCAGAGGGGAATTTCTGTTCCAGTGTGGGTTTGGTAAAACAGCAGAGCAAATGCTAGAGAGCCAGTTTGGTGTAGTGGTTAAGTGTGCGGACTCTAATCTGGGAGAACCGGGTTTGATTCCCCACTCCTCCACTTGCACCTGCTGATGTTATCTTGGGTCAGTCACAAGCTCTGTCAGAGCTGTCCTTGAAAAAGAGCAGTTTGTGTCAGAGCTCTCTCAGCCCCACCCACCTCACAGGGTGTCAGTTGTGGGGAGGGGAAGGGGAAGGAGTTTGTAAGCTGCTCTGAGACTCCAAGTGAAGGGCGGGGTATAAATCCAATCTCTTCTTCTTCTAGATGCAGATTAGGGCTCTGATTTGATTCTGCTCCCTCTGCCCCAGTTGCTATTTACCCAGAAAACCCACCCATTTGTGAATCTTCCATTGCCTGGTTTGCTTTAACTGCAAGTTGACGTTTGGGTGGGTTCAGCAAAATGCAAAAGGGTGTGTTAAGAAGCAGGCACTGAAGAGAGACTGGAAACACCAAGTAACAATTAAATTTTTTTTTGTTCCCCCCCCCCCCCCCCCCCCGCGAGTGCCTTTCCTTTTTTCCTGTGGTCCACCTCTTTCTCTCCATCTCTCTGTTCCTCTGCATCCCCCACTCTGTTGCCATGGCAACTTCCCAGCTGGGCACAAAGGACTAGGTATCCCAGGGTGATGAGTTTTCTGAGACTCCTTGCAGACGAAGGAGAGGAAAAGAGAATTCAATATTTGGATCTCTCCGGTTCCTTTGCCCTCCCCCACCCCAGCCGAATTGGTCCACGTGCTCACGCTATAGCTATTAATATTGTTCCGAGGTTTGAGGGAATGGTTATTTTAAGTCAGTGCAGTTTTGAGGCCCCTCTGAGGAGGGAAGACAAAGATGACTCACTTTAGCACAACATAGAGCTTAGTGGAGGGGGGGAGTAACCCACAAAATCTGGTATCAGAAATGGCTGGAATTTTATTTACTTATTCGGTTTTTTTAGTTGCCCCACACCCCAGGGGTCTCGCAGCGACTTACAACACTTAAAACAACATCATAATAAGTAAGTTAGAAACGGTGTTCCCTCTAAGCTGAGTTAGTGTGAGCTAGCTCGTGGTTTTTTTAGCCTCTGGCTCACACATTTTTGCCTTAGTTCAGGAAGGATGGCTCCAGAGCAAACTAATTTATGCAGTAGCCAAATCGCTCACTCACAACTTTAATGCCGGTAGCTCACTAAGTAGAATTTTTGCTCACAGGACTCCATAGCTTAGCGGGAGCCTTGGTTAGAAACCAAGATCAAGTAACACATCGAAAATTAAAATATATGACTCGAAATGCACCACTATCAAACCAGCCTGCAGCACTTCTGTATCCTCCAAAGGCCAACCTGAACCATTCAGCCTTGCAGGCACATATAATATTACAGCATTATTATAAGCCTGCATGGTATTTTTAAGAGTAACGGTGATGAGCATTTGGATGAGCACCAGTGTTCCCTCTAAGCTGAGTGAGTGTGAGCTAGCTCACAGTTTTTTAGCCTCCGGCTCACACATTTTTGTCCTGGCTCAGGAAGGATGGGGCTCCAGAACAAACTAATTTATGCAGTAGCCAAATCGCTGGCTCACAACTTTAATGCCAGTAGCTCACAAAGTAGAATTGTTGCTCACAAGACTCCACAACTTAGAGGGAACATTGATGAGCACTAGTCAAACAATGAGACAAAAAAGGCTATCTTTGTTACCGTTATAATCAAAATGAATATAAATAAAAGCCTGGTCCATTTTACTTAATATTCAAGTATCTTTGTTGTCTTGCCAGCTGGGTAAGGTTGCCAGCCTCCAGGCGTTGCCTGGAGATCTCCTAGAATTACAACTGATCTCCAGACTAGATAGATCAGTTCCCCTGGAGAAATAGCTGCTTTGGAGAGTGGAGGTAATGTAATGGGCACTTCGAGATTTGTTTCTGCCACCCCTACCGCCTTGCCTTGCACTGTGGATTGATTCTGGAGCTCCAGGACCCTGGTCTGGCCAAATCAGACATGAAGTCAGCGCAGGGGTTGCCAAGTGGATTTTCGCCGGGAGCGGGGGGCTCCTGGCCGGCGTCTGTTGCGCGTGCGCGCCGCATGCACGTCACCCGGAAGTGACATGATGAAGCCAGGCACGCTGGGGGCGGGGCCACAGCCATATGAGGGCAAACCATAGAGTTTTCCCTCGGATAGCTGTGGCCCCACCCCCAGCGTGCCCGGCATGGTTGCGTCACTTCCGGGTGACGCGCACGTCGGGGAGGAGTTCCCCCTGGGGCCTGATCCAGCGGCGGCGGGGAACAGGCCTCTGGGGCGGGGGTTTCCCCGCCCCACAGGGGGACTTGGGAAGCCTAGCTGAGAATCTCATAAGAACATAAGAGAAGCCATGTTGGATCAGGCCAATGGCCCATCCAGTCCAACACTCTGTGTCACACAGTGACCAAAACCCAGATCTCCCTCTCCCATGCTGTGTACAAGGAAGGACACTGCTTGTCACCAGCACCCTCAGTTAAAGGGACTTCAGGTAGCATGTTTTAAACATGACCTTGCTCAGCCTGGGCTGCAAACCTAGAAAGCCACTATCCAGCAGAGTGGACAATACCAAAGCTTGGCATGTGGCAATTTTGCAGCCAAATATGACATTGGCTACTTCTGTTTAGACGCCATCCCTAAGAGTGTAGGAAGGACTTTATCCTAAGTAAGAGCACTCCATCCTGCAGACGGGTAAGAGCAACTCCTGATTGTACACATGAATTCTGTCACGGCCCCAGCCTTGTGGAGCAGTCTGCCTGAAGGTGTCCGCAAAGTTCCCACACTCCTGTCATTCCACAAACTGCATCCAAGAGAATTGTTCAAGAGGGCATTTTTATAAACTTAGGGCTACATTATAACCCAATAGTTCAGGAAGGTGCTTTTATAAATGACACTAGTCTATGCAGGCCACTGTGTGTACTGTCCACTAACTGTTGGAAAGTGGATTGTTATAATTTCAGAGCATAGCCATGCAGGTCTGCAGTAGAACAGCTAGACTGGAGTCCAGTAGCACTTTAGAGACCAACAAAAAAAATTTTTTGGGGGGGGGTATGTGCTTTACAGGGTCAAAGCTCTTGATGGAGGGAGCCTCGACTCTCAAAAGCTTATACCCCAAAATTCTTGTTCGTCTCTAAGTTTCTATGAGACTCGAATCTAACTGGATTATTATGTATTCTTCTCTTGCTGCATTATTTTCTGCTTCTATAATGCTGTTTTCTGCATTAGCTCAAGATGGGTAGCAGCCGCATTCTTCTGTCTGTGAGCAGTAGAAAAGAGTAAGAGTCCAGCAGCACCTTAAAGACTAACTACCACAAATTTTGTTAGTCTTTAATGTGCTACTGGACTCTTACTATTTTCTACTTTTATCTGCAGTGTTTGATATATTATGTCAGGTCATTTTTTGCACTGTTTCTAATTTCTCAGTAATCCCATTCCTGTTGCATTACCAATTAGAGGCTTGATCCTATTGATTGCATTGACCTACACTGCTTGAGTCTTAGGAAGAAAGGCATACTATAGATAGATAAAATAAATAAAAATCGAATTGAACATACTGTTGTATAACCTTCCTTGTATGCATGCGTATTTTTATATATTTATACCCATATTACACAAGCAGTTTTATGTCATGACATTCAAAGGAATTAAGACGGCAATCCTACCCACACATTATACTTCAGAGCTACTTTTCTCGGAGTTTTCTGGTGACTGTTTTGAAGACCATCTTACATGATCTCATACTGAGCCATGCTTTGTAGTCTTAGCGTGCATTTATACTGGATTTTGCATTTTAATTTAATGGGTATATTTCATAAATTAGTTATGTGTCCCGATCGTATGCATTTTAAGTCCTAATGAAGTAAACGGAGACAAAACTTTACGCAGAACACTGCAACTTTAACCCTTTTCAACGTACATAAAAAGGGCCCAGTCTAAAATACAAATTTCACTGCACTGAAAAGCAGTCGCTTATCTCGCCAACCTTACAGCGACCTCTTCGGCTTCCCTCGAAGTCTCGTTCCTCCGCCCCTCGCCCCCCTCGTTTTCTCATTCCACGCCCCACGCCTTGAACTTCTTCCTCTCTATTGGCCGTGATTCTACCGGCTCCGCCCCTTTAGAACGTTGTGTATCCGGGTCTGGAACCCCGGGGGCTGCCTGGTGTTCCCGTCCCACGTGCGTTTGCATAAGAAACGAAGCACGAGCTACGGTAAAACCCGGGGGAGGGTATTGATTGATTGGCTAGTTGGTTCCGTCCGGTTCATTTCATTTCCTCAGTAAACCCAATAAGAGGTTTGGGAAGGAAGAAGGCCGGCAGGGTCCCGCCTACTGGGGGTGGTGGAGGAATGTCTGACGAGTGATGGTGTGGAGGCTTACATGGAGACAAGGGGGCCTTGGAGGTTTAGCAGTAGTTAAGCTTGACCGTGCGTTGTATTATGCGCTGTGTTAGGCTACATAATGTAGTAATGCCTTGCTGGATCGGAGCAAAGGTCTGTTTGGTTCAGCATCCTTTTTCCTCTGGAAAGCTCAAAGGAAACATGTTGTTTGTCCCCTGTATCTGGTGTTCAGAGGTATACTACCTCTCAGCCTACCTGGAATTCTCTGATCTTTTTAAAAAGCCATCTAAGCCTGGGGCTGTCGCTGCATCGTGTGGAGGGGAATAGCTTCCATTTAATTATGAGTTGTTTCTTTTCTCTTATCTGAACCTCTTGTGCATCTTCGGTGGCTGGCCCTCGTCCCCCTGAGCTGGAAGAGAGAGGGGGAGATTTTTCCTTATCGTCTCCCTCTGTATTTCCCAGAATGTTACCAACTGTTAATATGATTATCTTTTGGAGAATTGTGAGGCCTTTATATTTAGTGCTTTTGGTGTTGAGGATGAGATGGGGCACGTGATTCGTGATTTGAGGCCCATTATGTTGAGAGAAGAACTGGCCTCATCCAGCGAGCTTTGCAGCACCCAGGGGATTTGAACCTGGCTCTTCCAAATTCTAGCTAGTCTGACACTCTTAGCCACTAAATGTCACTGTGTTAATAAGACATGTTTGCGAATACTTCTGTTTATTTACTTTATTTGTATCATGTCTTTTTCTCCAACGGGGACCCAAAGTGGCAAACATCATTCTCCTCCCTTTTATCTTCACAACAACCCTATGAGGTAGGTTAGGCTGAGAGTGTGTGATTGGCCCAAGATCACCCAGCAAGCTTCCATGGCAGAGTGGAGATTTGAACCTGGGTCTACCCAGATCTTAGAGCAGTACCTTAACCACTATACCACACTGGTTCGTTTCCACAACTTGTAGCCCAATCTTATACATGTTTACTCAGAAGTAAGGCCCACCGTGTCCAGGCATAAGCCCCAAGTAAGGATGCTGTTTTATTCTGTTGTTCTGTTTATGGGGAGGGTCAAATGTCTGTGTGGGTCTAACTGCATCTTTACAGATCTCAGGGAGTTTTGCTGCTATGAGGGCTAGAAACCTGCCTCAAAAACCCACAACTGAATGTTCAGTAGGGAGTATTCTTTTAACAATTGCAGCTAAATGCAAATCAGGAAACACAAATCTTCAATACCTGAGTGGTGAAATAAAGCATGGCAAACAGCCAAATTGTTGGAATCTATGGCTGTAGTGTACAGCAGTCACAATCCATTATGAAGAGGTAAATTCTGGGAGAGTTTTTTAATCGGTATATGCAATCCAACCCTGACCTGGACAGCTCAGGCTAGCTGGATCTCGTCAGATCTCAGAAGCTAAGCAGGGTCAGCCTTGGTTAATACTTGGATGGGAGACCACCAAGAAAGTCCAGGGTTGCTACGCAGAGGCAGGCAATGGCAAGCCACCTTTGTTCATCTCTTGCCTTGAAAACCCCATGAGATATTGCTATAAACTGGCTGTGACTTGACAAATAAATGTAATCTAGCTTATACTTGTTTTAAAGATAATTATGGGAGTGAAGGTGGCATGGTATAGCGCAGAGGTGTCAAACATAAGGCCCGTGGGCCAGAACCAACCCATCCAGGGCTCTTACCCGGCCCGCAAGAAACTGGTATGTATGGAAAAATAAGGTACTCTCCCTTTTATAGTATCTCTTGGGGGGGAAAAACTAGTCTTGCATATGATTGAACACATGTATTGGGGCTTTTGTGGGCTCCCCAGTAAATCAATTGCTTTTGTTTGTATTTTGAGTAAAAAATACCGTTAATTGGATTTGCCGGTGTCCTTTATAAAATTTATATATCCGGTACCTGGCATTACATTTTATGGCACACATGGCCTGGCCCAACAAAGTGACATTTATGTCAGATCGGGCCCTTGTAACAAATGAGTTCGACACCTTGGGATAGCCCAATCTTGTCATATCTTGGAAGCTAAACAAGGTCTGTACTTGGAAGGGAGACCCCCCCAAGGAAACTCTGCAGAGGAAGGCAACGGCAAACCACTTCTAGTTCTCATTTGCTTTGAAAGCCCCTTGCTGGGCTCACCATAAGTTTGTTGCCACCTGATGGCACTTTATGCATACAAAGATATTTATGGATCGATGGTTCTGGCATTCGGAAATGAAGCCTGTCTATTCATTGTTATTTAAAAGTTCATTTCTTATTGGGAAGATTTCACTCTGTCTTATAACATTTTTTTCCCCTTTAATGAAAACAAAACAAAGGTGTGGAACGCTTGTGTGTGCTTGGTGTGCGTGCAAAAAACACTCAACTCGGTCTTTAATGGGAGAGGCCGTGTTGGCTAGTGGTTAGAGTGGCAAGCTAGTCATAGGCAATCTTTTCGGTGTGCGTACTGGGAAGGGGAAATATTTTATTTTTTTATTTATACATGCATATACAGTGTCCACCTCTAAAGAAACTGGCGTGCCAGCAGCCAACCAACAGGAGAAGAGGCGAAACCGGGGTTGTACTTGGCCAGATGTGTTGGGAGCAAACTGAGTGCCGTCAATGCTTCCAGCATCTCGGGGGCTCACCTGGGATCCGGTTGGTGGTGTGCAGGTCCAGGAGGCAATGAGCAGGCGAAACCGGGGTTGTACCTGGCCAGATGCGTTGGGAACAAACTGAGTGCCGTCAGTGCTTCCAGCATCTCGGGCTCACCTGGGATCCGGCTGGTGGTGTGCAGGTCCAGGAGGCAATGAGGGGATTAAGGCACGCTTCTGCCAGACTACCAAGCCCCAGTGGCACAGCCAGCACCTCAGGAAGTTGCATTGGTTGCTTTGGTGGAGAACTGGCCTTGCATGCCAAGCAATGTGATCTGGCATGCCACTGTTAGGCCCATGTATAGGGGATTTCCTTCCCCTGATCTGCAAGACCTGGGTTAATATCCCTGCTCTGGCATGTACCTTGCTGGGTGCTGCTGAGTCAATCACACTCTCTCAGCTTAATCTACCCCATGGTTGTTGTGAGGATAAAATGGGAAAGTGAGAATCATGTACGCCCTCCTGAGCACTTTGGGAAAAGGTTTTCACCCAGAAAGAGTAGTAATGCACTAGATGGATTAATTGCTGATTGGGGGATTAGGGTGCAATAATAAATGGTCCCCTTTTTATCCTTTTGATGCCACAGGTTTCACCTCCCAACTGAAATCGTCCCCAAGATCTATGTGTGTTCCTTCCCAGAGGGCAACTCATGGCTGGAAGAGGCGGCAGAGGGAGGGGCCGGGGCGGTCACATGACCTTCAATGTTGAAGCCGTGGGCATCGGAAAGGGAGAAGCCCTGCCCCCGCCCACTCTGCAGCCCTCACCACTGTTTCCTGTGAGTCTTGCTGTCCCCCTCCCCAATTTGATCCCGGGTTTATCCAGCTGATTTGAAATACTTTCGTTAAAGGATAAATTCTTTGTTTCCTGACCCCCCCTGGGTATGTGGCTATATTTTTTTCTTGCAAGATTCTCAAGCTTTCATCTTTCTCCTAGCCCTTGGAATATAAACCAGTTCCCTTGCAAACTGGTGAAGAGGTAGAATATATGCTGGCCCTGAAGCAGGAACTGAGGGGAGCGATGAAGAACCTGCCATACTTCATCAAACCATCTGCTCCTAAGAAAGGTAAAAAGGACTAAGGAGAGCTCAGGAACAGAAGGGGCCGCTGTGCAGAAGGCTGGAGTCAGACATATTTTAATTTTGTATTAGACGAAAAGCAAGGGGTCACTTTTCAAGCTGCAGAGTCTCCGGCTACCATTGATTGGTTGACCTGGTGTGATGTCACAGAATGTCTGCGAGTGTTTTAATGGGGAAGGCTCAGTTGTGCTGTGTGGAAGGTTAGTGTGACTGCTGTAAGGAGGGGAAACACGTAGGTTTGAGATGGAAAGAAAATGACACAAGACTTGTGGACGAGGCCTTTTAGCAAAAATAAGGGCAAAGTCAGGTGGGAGGAGGCTGCTGGATAGGAAGTTATGGGGAGATGGCTCTGGGGGTTGCCACCATACTTGTTTTTTTCTGGCAGGGATCCTACTGATTAAAGAGCTGTATGACAGGAAATTTTTATTTGAAGAAGAGTAGCAATTTTTGAGTTTCTGCACTCCACAACTGCTTAAAACAGAGGATTCTGCCTGAAGAGAGAACTGGCTACTCCATTTAGAAGGCAATGGTTTTCTCTGAGCCACACGAGTGCTGGGGTGAAATATTAGCCATGTGTGCCAGAGAACTGAGTTCAAATTTGCGTGCAGCCATGAAGCAGTTGGGGAGGGTATCTTGAGGTAAATCACCCCCCCCCTCCAGTGTAAGTGTTCTGACAGGATTCCTCTCTGAGTGATTATTTGAGAATGGTAAAACAAAACATAATGAGGCAGGACTAGGTGTTTATAAAGGGGCAGCTACAGCTTCCCCTTCATATCTGCCAGAACTTCCTTCATTACCTGGCAAGTAACGTTTGGCATAAGGATGCCAGGAGGTGAAGCGAGCCCTTCTGGTCAGGCGTTTCCCAGACTTCTGCTAGCCAAGGCACACCCCACTTTCTTCTAAGCTGGAACCAGAGGCACAAAAAGGTTTTCATCCAGAAAGGATTGTCTTTAGAATATACACAAGTAAGCATTATAGACCCACAATGGAACCTCTTGGAAACACAAGTAAACATTATAGACCCACAATGGAACCTCTTGGAAACACAGCGGCAACGTTCTTGTGGTTTGGGTCTCAGTTCTGCCTGACACCACACTAGATTCTCTCTTTACAGGAGGGCAAAGCTGCAGACAGGCGTGGGAGTTGTAAAGACAAAATGTTACCAGAAACATTTCCAAGGGGGCATTTCCCTGGAAGGTCACTGGGGCTCTGCAGTGCCTTTTGTGACCACCACCATGGCACAGTTCTGAGCCAAGAAACCCTGCCTGCATTGTGAGGACCTCTTGGCTTAGCTTGCTCTGGGGCCATCATGACATCCTGAGCCACCCCTTTGTCAGCAGCTCCTTGTCCACTTTGTTCAGAGCCCTTCATTCCAGAGAACAGGAAACAGGTGGCCTTTTCCTACTGACCTCTTGAGCCTCAAGCTGTCCGAGAATCATGGTAGGCATGTAGGCATCCTTTTAGAATTGGCGCTGGCAGTGTCTTTCTTAACCTGGGGAATGCATTTTATTTGGATTTCCATTAGTGTGGTTTTAAATGGCTTTCAAGTATCCTCTAGGGATTTGAGTCTCTTGTGTCAACAACCTCTTCATCTCCGAACCAAGTCACACACATGAAACTGCCTTATAGTAAATCATACCATCAGTTCATCAAGGTCAGTATTGTCTACACAGACTGGAAGTGTTTTTCCAGGGTCTCAGGCAGAGGTCTTTCTGACCTCCTACTACCTGATCCGGACTACATTTAGGGGATAAAGAAAGATACCCACTACTGACTAAAAACCCAAGAGAGGAGATCATCTCAGCAGTTTAGACAAACATTTAGTCTTAATCTCGTTAAGCTTACTATCAACTGAGTCAAATTTAGCATTAACTTTTCCAAGTCTTAAATTTAAAGTTTAACTGTCATACAGAAATACCCCAGAGCATCTCATTTCAACATTTTATAAAGGCACAATTCAGAGTCCTTCAGCCTTTACTTCTCCTTG